TAAAAGCTCATTAAAATCAGAGGGGGGCAGTTGCGTCCCTTTCCTTGTAAGATAAAATATAAATATATTAATTTGACATCAATGTTAATTTTATTGAAAAAATGTTCACAGTTTGCTTACAAATGTAACTACAAATTTTTGTATTAATTTTTTTACAAAATATTTGTGTTATTTTCTAACTGTATATTCATTTCGTATTAAATATTATCACAACAATTTAAGTGGACCGTTTAATTGGGACACGCAAAATGTGTTAAATTTAATACAAATTTTTTAAATGTTTAGTCAATTCTTTTTTTAAAATCATAATTAAGATGCTAATATAGCTTTGTGATTGGCTGTGACATCTTGACTATACTTAAAACGATTTTAAATATAAGAAACGACTATGAATACTGGCTTACACTTTGTTTAAATTATCTTTCACAATCTAATTGTAAAAATCTGCTCTCGTCCTCCAAACAATTGATGAATGTTCAGTATTTCCGGAAATCGAGAAGATACTGGAAGATTCCCTCCGAAAAGAACTTGCACCTGGCGTTGTTGGCCAGTGTGAAATGTGTGTGTTTACAATAATCTTCCTGTGTTTTGTTGTTTGGATACTAGTCAGGTAAGAATTTCTCAATTCGTTATTATCGCGATTGCAGAACAATACTTATAAAGATTCGATAAAATGCAGTAAAACGTTTTCGAGTCACGTTCTAAAAGGTTAGGAAATCTGCCAATACCGACTGTGACAATTCATTGATAATTACATCAACCAATCATAGTCGAGCATTTTGCTAAGTTAGGTTATGAATGTACAGTTCGATCTGTTCTCTGTTCTCGAGATTCCAAGATAAACGTTGGAATGCTCTATATTTATTTCGAAAGATCGAGTGATTTAAATTACGACTTCAAAATAAGTTAGTAAACAAAATAATCGATTATTTTTATTATTGACAATATTATTAGTAATATTATAAAATAATTTTCTGTTTATTTTATGTACAATTTTAATCAACAATGTGATATTGTTATATTTTGTTATATTATTCACAAATATTATAATAAGAAATATTATAATTTTTTAACATTTAAGAATTGTACATGTATCGCTTTATTGAAATTTTGAATAGATATCAGATAATATAATATATACAAAAATATTAGATGGTTTTTAAATTATAGGTTAGGTCTAAAGTGGGTGGTTATAATTTATTTTGAAGAAGGAAGAAAGTAACAAGAAAGAAATAATTCCTTTCTTTTTTTTTTTTTCAAGAATGGATAATGTGTTAAGCAGCACAGATAAGAAAAAAAGAAACAAAGCGACAAGACAGTTGGTTCCAAGCACCGAACGTAAGGCATCTGGATGTAATTGGGAAACGTACAAAAATTTGTTTTCCAAGACTAAGACGGAAGAACACACTGGAGAAAAAACTGTCTCACAGAATAACAGGCATCCAAAGTTTAAAAAAGTATATACCACTCCAGTTCATATGGTAAATATATTTATAGTACTGTTTTGAATATAAATGTTATTGATTAGTGAGTTATATTTCTTGACACACATATCTACGCCAAGTGCAGGATTCACAGGGGCAAAACAGCAAGCAAGATATGAAAAATAAAGAGAACAAGACTTTGACGAAGCAGCTCGCCATGGACTGCGAAATGGTTGGAATCGGCGACGGCACAGAGAGTATAATAGCTCGAGTGTCAATTGTAAATAAATATGGCGATTGCATATACGACAAGTACGTTAAACCAAGAGAAAAGGTCGTGGATTACCGAACGGCAATCAGTGGCGTACGACCAGAGCATTTGCGAGATGGAGAAAGCTTCAATATCGTGCAGAAGGAAGTAGCAGATATATTGAAGGGTCGTATTTTAGTGGGCCATGCATTAAAGCACGATCTCAATGTACTGTACCTGTCGCATCCTAGAAGGTATTGGCGAGATACTTCGAGATACAAGCCTTTCCGCCAAGTATCAAAAGGGAACACTCCCAGCCTTAAAAAGCTCGCGTACGAATTATTAGGTAGAGAGATACAAGTAGGTGAACACAGTTCTGTGGAAGACGCGAAGGCAGCGATGCAATTATACATGTTGTATAAAAATAAGTGGGAGTCGGAAAGAAAACATTGACGAACGGATCTTTATTAACAATATGGTATACTCGGAAAAAGGCATAGTGGTAGCAACTATAAAGGTGACAATTATACAAGTTTTACATGAATAATGTGTAGAAATTTAATAAATTTTATTTTACTACTAAAAACACGGTTATTACTACTAAAATGATTTATTTGACTATATACATTAATTCTATTTATAAAATTATGTATATTAATTCTATACACATAAAACTATATTAATTCTACATTGTTAGAAATTTCGTGATGAATTTAAATAACAGAAGCTCGTGGTCATGAGGTATAACTAAAAACAATAAGAATCTTATTTTTAGACCGTACAATGTGAGAAACACAATTAATAATAGAAATTCAACAGCCTATACCGGTCGAAGCTAGATCTTTTAATGCTTTAAATAATTCAATGTGAATTATATACCCAGATAGCGACATGTCTGTCTTGTTGCTGGCATGTTGCTTGCTAAGTATGTGTTGCTACCAAAATTGCAGTAACTGAGTCCTCATTTGTTGGCAACTTGATGCCTTCACAATATGATAACACATTGAGTAGCAACTTGCCAGCAATTTGCCAACAACTTTAAAATCATCATCATCAAAATTCGTACCATTTTACCATCATGTTGCTATAATAATATGCAGCATCATATAATGCTGTCATATTGCTGATAACGCAAAATAACATTGACGCAGCTATCTTGCTGTTAAACTGCTGGCAATACATATACACATTGTTATCTGTATGTTGCTACAGTCGGCATATTCGAAATCGTTGAAGACAAATCTACGGCAAGTTGCCAGCATCATAAGCAATCACAGATTTGTATAATTTTGTTGAAACACACTTTGCTATCTGGGTATATACCTACTATATATGTACTTGCATATATAACATATTTGTAGTCCTTCAAATTGTGCAAATTGGTTTTCCAGACTTATAAACAATTAAACTACTGGAATAATATCACGAATTAAATTAAATTGACAAGCAATTCTTAAATAATTTTGATGCACAATCAAGCATCATATTAGCAAGATGTTACTGTGCTGCAAAACTGTAAATAAATTTATTGCGAAAAATATTACCTCAGCCGGGAGTCGAACCCGGATCTCTCGTATTCCGTACGAACGTCCTAAGCCATTAGACCGAGGCGATTTAATTCGTGATATTATATTCCAATAGTTTAATTGCGTTTATAAGTCCGGAAAACTAATTCGGCGTGCAGTTTGAAGGACTACAAATACATTAATGTCATGAAATTAATTTTAATTTGTGTAACTTAAAAGTACATTAAATTTTATGATATTTTTAACAGCATATATGTTCTCCACTGGATACATTAATTCTATAGATGAAACATTATATAATTGCCATCTTTATAATTGCTAAGGAGATCTTTCACAAGACATCATATCCATCTAACAAAAAGAAACAGCATCAAACATGCTTGCGAAACTCCAAGAACAATATAGTGCAACCTCTGTCATTTGTACTTGATGATAAACGATTGTACAATCATAAGTCTACGATCATATTTAACTGTAAGTGGATATATTTAATAAGCTGTAATATATATATATATATAATACAAATATTTTAAATAATAAAAGGTATATATTTTACTGTAAGGTAAGCACCTTTTTTATATCACATATTTATATAATTTTAATCAGTTATTGTTTCCTCTTTTTGATATTTTCTCTTTATAAACATCGCATATCTTTAAGGAATAAACGATTTTTAAAAATTGAAACTCATCGAGCATTGTGTGCTGCATTTAGGGATAGTGAAATGTGTATGTGACAAAGATTGAAGGTCTTCGCATTAATTTCGTAAACACGCGGGATATGACCTTATCAGTATCAGCCTTGTATTTCCCTCTCTTTAATGACTTATTCCACTTGGTCATTTTGATTTTCGCTTCGCTGTGACATATGTATCTTGTATTCTACTGGATCTCGTTTTGGTACAAGCGCTTTGTGTTTTTCTGTTGGTGAGTTACTAACTGTACTAGATTATACTTTATCAAAACTTTATCTTAATTTCGTAATGATTAATATATCATGACGTCTATCTTGTCTTATCAAATTTTGTTAAGCGTGTTCTGTTGGTACATATATGATCTAACATAAGCTAGTTGTCTTCAGAATTTAATTCGTATCAAGATTCAACCGATGCGACGTTAAAAGTGAAAAGTTCTAACTGTGGTAAATTTAAATTGAAAAAATATATGAATATTTTAACTCTGATATGTGATAAGAATGCACAGAAGAAAGAACGGGTGTTCGACTTTTGATTGAATCTATTGCACCTTTCACAAATCTAACCAGTTCGCTCGAAGCCGTAAGTAATCGCCGTCGCGATCGATTTGCAATATCTTCCACTGAAAGTTATATAAGCGGATGCACGCTCTCATTCACAGATCTTTCATTAATCTCTCATTATGAAGAAAAACGATAGAGGACTTTTTTATTCAGTTTAATTTTATCTGCCTATGAGAGGTGATACAATTATTTCTAGACACTCTGTATAAGTTTAATCGCAATTGTTTATAAAAAACGTCTCATCAAATATTGCGATATCAATGAATGCTTTATGCGATTAATATTGCAGTAAAAACAAATATAAGATAATTGATTAATATTCCAATTGAAATAAATATGTAGAAAATAGTGGCTCCTCGTGAATTCAAACAAATGGATAACTCTTATCATTCTTGGCCAGAATACATTTAGCTACTGTTAGCTTACATGCAGAAATGGGAACGTTACTTTATAAAAAATAACGTTTATTATCATTACTCGTTATTTATTTTAGAAACTAATTCATTATTATCGTATTTAAAAAGTGACTATTCATTATTTTTTTCGTTACTTTTTATACCATAATGCTGAAGCAAGATATTAGATTTTAAAATTGCATTATTTAATAATAAATCAATATTAAATATAATAATTAATATAAAAACTTTAAATTAGTCTGTATATAAACTTTTCTTTATATTAAACTTATCTTAATAAATTTTGTATAATTCTTAATCTTAATATTTTTATTCTTTAATATATTTATCTTTAGAAATTTACATTTTAATTTGCAAACGTAAATTTTTTATCTAATAAATGCTATATTTTTATCTAATAATGTAATCTATTGAATAGATATATAAATAAAAATAATATAAGAAACTAAGTAACAATAAAAGTAATGCTGAATTCGTTATCATTATTGCAAAGATGTAACGATGTTATTACATTGTAATTACAGATAGAAAAAAATGATTGTTACCGAAAAAAGTAACGACAATTCTGTTTACATGTACAATTATTTTTTTTTCAAAAAGGTATAAAAAGCAATGAATATATTAATTGCATCTCTCGGAAACCAAGCTTATTAATTCTACTTTTTGTAAATTTTTCAATTTTAATTGGCATATTATAATTTTCTTCGCATTTTATTTTAAATGATTAATTACCTTGGCTTCTGAAAAGCTCCAATTATTCCTCCAATTCTTATCAGAGAAAATTTACCTTTGTATCGATCAAAAATGATAGAAGCAAAGTGCGGTAGGTCTAAGATATCCGTGTATTACAAAATGAATATTATACCATAATTGTACTTCATTAACTACGAAATAGCTTGCCGATATAGCTGAAAGTGCCAACGAGGATTTCTCGTGTTCTACGAAGCTTAAACAGCCAACGACTGCGCAATCATGAAAATCGCCGTGATCGGCGCCGGAGCCGCTGGACTCGCTGCTCTCCGACACTGCATTTCCGGTACTTACGGCCATCAGGTGGTGTGCTACGAAAAAACAGACCAAATCGGCGGGACCTGGGTCTATCGAGAGCAAACTGGTTTCGATAGATACGGTTTACCGATTCACACTAGCATGTACAAGAGCCTCAGGTACGGCGCGTATTTCTTGCAGCCAACTTTCATTTTCCCTCATAAAAATTTAACTTGAAGATGTAATAATCAATTACTTATTTTGAGTATTAAATTCGCCGGTATTAAATTAGATTTCTGTAATGGTTTCTCAACAATCCTCAATTCTGCATAGAGAGCACGTAAGTAATATAAATTTAAATTGCGATTAATATTCTAATCTTGAATTTTATGTCAGTTTTGTATTTTGCATTGTTTCGTAGAAATGAACCATTGATGAATTTCATCCCGGCATATGTATTATAAACATTTAAATCCATTACAAATGATTCGATACCATTAATGAGAATTATACGACATCTAGAATTAATTTACATATTTTAGAGCTAATTTACCGAAGGAGGTAATGGGCTATCCAGATTTTCTGATACCGGAAGGACCCGTGAGCTATCTGACGCGCACGCAGATACTGGATTTCTTGAATATATATTGTGATCATTTTAAACTACGTCCTTACATTCGGGTGGGTGCACAGATAGAGGAATATAGCAACGCGAAATGCTTGTATCAAATACCATGACTACATTTCATCTGAATTATTATTAAACATGAATTTAAACGCACTATTAAGTACTATTATTATTAGTAACGTTATTATAATATATTCCCAAGCAAAACAAGTTATTATAGGCCTGTTCTTTTTGGCTGAACTTTTGCACCAGTTCATCTTTCTTCCTTTTCTCTCCAGGAGGAAAGATGAATTGGTGCAAAAGTTCAATCAAAAAGAACAGACCTAATGATATCAAAATGACGTCAAAATGACCCCAAAGTGATGATTAAAAGTCATCTTTCAATCATTTTCGATTTATTTTAATATCATTTTGACGTTATCGTGACTTGTTGTTCTACTTGGGTTAATATGATATAATAATATTAATATAATAATATTATTTTAATAAAATTATATTATTAATTTATAGTGTAATATTAATATATATATAGCGTATTATCTAACTAATAATATATATATAATATGTGTTATATTAACTGGTATTATAGATTACATAAGTTGGTAGTTTATATAATATATTGTATAAATATACAATAATAATGACTAGATAGTAATAGCATGATTTATTATGGCGTAAACATTTCAGCTGCTGCATCATGTAGAGCTGGTGGAGCCGGTCACGGGGGACCGGAAGTGGTCGGTCAAGGTCAGGGACTTGCAGAATGACGCGATCGTGATCGAGTCGTTCGATGCAGTCATGGTGTGCAACGGTCATTACTTTAAACCCAAGATCCCGAATATACCTGGTCAGAATGTCTTTACCGGCAAGCAGATACACAGTCACGATTACAGAGTTCCCGACTTCTTCAACGGCAAAAAAGTCGTTGTCATGGGAGCTGGTCCTTCCGGTACATACGACACGCGAAATTACTTATTTTTTGAACGAGATACTTTCTTTTCGCAATGCCAGCGATTCGAGCAATGTCGGTCATTAACATTTTCCTTCCACGACTTTGATCTTTTTCTTCTAGTTTCATTAAAGTTTTATTACTATAAACAAATATTTTTTGGATATTTAATTTTGGTGAGAACGACGAACAAAAAAATTCTTAGGCAAAGTTATTCTTGCGGCGATTAAAACGTAACATTTTTCTGTTTCGGGTAGGTATGGATTTGTCGTTGGAGATATCCAAGAATGCGAATCGCGTGATTTTGAGTCATCACCTGACCGAGACCATCGACACCGTGTTTCCCGAGAATGTCGTGCAGGTAAAAGCGCGAATCCAAAGCAAAATCGCGGAGATACTTTTTTCGCGCAAAGTCAAATATACTTATAAGGGACAATCGCGGAGGTACTTTTTAAGCGACCGTGACGGTTTCTTCTATAGAAAGGTGACGTAGTGGAATTGACGGAACGCGAGGCGGTTTTTGCGGACGGGACGAAGGAGCAGGTTGATGTCGTCTTCTATTGTACAGGTAGATTCTCTCCCATCCTTATGGTAATTATTATGTGGGATATTGTCTCACTCTAACAATTAAAATAACACTCATTCTTTTTCCTGAAAAGGCTACAAGTACAGCTTCCCCTTTCTCGCCGAGTCCTGTGGAGTCCGAGTGGATTCCAACATGGTCACGCACCTTTGGAAGCATCTGGTGTCCATAGAGAACTCTACTTTGGCATTGATTGGCCTTCCATTCTACGTTTGCGCCTTCAGTATGTTCGATTTGCAGGTACAAGATTTTTTTTTGCTAATCATCTCCCTAAAATCCAAAATATTATTATGTCACCTAGCTATACTTAATTTTCTCTTTGATTAATTCACCTCGAACCAATAATATCCTATATTTTACCGTATATATCGCGTCTCGTATTTCAAATTGATGCTCTCTATAGACCTAATTCTTTTAACTGATCTTGTATGCATATTGTTGATCCTTTCTCTTTTCTTGTCTAATATGGAAAGAAAAGAAGGAAAGAGAGACGAACCGTGCAAGAAGTTCAGAAGAACAAGTCTCACATTTTGAAATATGTCAGACGTACAAAGGCCGCGCGCAATCCACTTTAGACACGCGACATTCCAAGCCCCCGTGGGGCATCCGGAGCGGATGAGATTGTCTCTGAGCGTGGCTGAAAGGAGCGCGGTCGCGCGCGACGGGGAAAAAATGCTAGAAAGTCACTGTCGCGCATCCGGCGTGACTATGTGCCAGCAACGGTGATAATTTGCCGGCAACGTGATTATTTGCAATTTCAAGGTGCGATTCGTCCTACGATACTGGCACGGCGAGAAGCAGTTTCCCGCCCGAGCGGATATGCTACGCTCCGAGGCGGAGGAAGCAGCTAGACGCGCCGAGAGAGGTCTGCAGAAGAAACACTTTCACATGATGGGTCCTGAACAAGAGCACTATTACAGTGACCTGGCGAATGTCGCAGGCATCACGCCGCTGCTGCCCGTGCTGACGAAGCTCCACAACGAGAGCAGTATGCGCTTCTTGAAAGACCTCGTGCATTTTCGGGAGGATCGCTACAAGATCATCGATGATTACAATTTCGTTGAACTTTCACGTTGAAGCGGCAGATACGATTATTTAAAAGATCAAATATCTTTCAACTATGTATTTTATTCAATTTAGTTCGAATAGTTTTGCATTCGAAATTGTAAGAAAAATATTCACACACCTATCGTTGCTTGTTAATTAATTCTTGCTCTTCGTCGTGTGTGAAATAAATATGAACTTTCCTGTCATTCAAGCGTGAATAATTATCTTCTTATATCGATTAAGGTTATTTTTCGTGTAGATATAATTGTCTGAAAGTCTAGCTATCATTTATTCGTTATGATTAGCTGAGACTTCTAATTTTCTAAAATTACTCGTTCTAGCGAAAAGATATATATAGCGGTGTTCGTAGTCGATTCTTCTATTTAAGATTGAACTTAAATACAGTTTTAAAATGTCACGAACCAATCGGAGGACTGCGTGTATTAGCATCTTAACTACTTAAGAATTTAAAGCCTATAACGGTCGAAGCTGTATCTTTAGTGCTTAAATAATTCAATGTTTAAGTTCTGAGAATTTTTTCAGAATTTTCTCAGAATTTTTTAATACCGTATTTTCTCATGTTGGTAAGAATAAGAAAATGCAGTATTAAAAAGTTGATAAAAAATTGTGAAAAAATTCTTAGAATTCTATGAGAAGAAAGTAAATGATTTTTGTCTGTTGTAGTTTTTCTGTAAAGTTGATAGTATTTCAGTAAAAAATTATTGAAGACCAATATTCGCAATTTTTAGTAATTAATATCTTGTTAACTATTGCGAAAATTGCAAAATGCAAGAATTTTCGACTCAGTTTAGTTCGCTCTATCTACACAAAAGCGATTGGCAAAAACTTACGGAACACCCTGTGTATATACATATATATACACACATATCCATATACACTATATATGTACATACATATATACCATATTTGTATAAGTTATTCGAACTGCGCGCCGAATTGGTTTTCCGTACTTGTAAACGCAATTAAACTACTATAATAATATCACAAATCAAATTAAATTGACAAGCAATTTTTAATAATTTGATGCTCAATCAGACACCATATTAGAAAGATGTTAATGTGCTGAAAAACTGTAAATAAATTTATTGCGAAAAATATTACCTCGCACTATTAAAAAAAGAATCGATTATGAATACCGACTTAGGTCATATTACCTATCATGGAATAAAGTCGGAATTATTCCGTTTTCCCCAGAAAACAATAGAAATCTAAGGAATAATTGAATAATTCCGATCGGAATCCATTCCGACTTTGTTCCACGATAGGTACCCTGATCTCCTTTCGAACTTCCCGCAATCGCGCGGTCACGTGACTCGGGGCGCGCACGTGACGCAAGCGCAGATGCGGCTGTGGCGGCGGCGGCGGCGGCGACGTACGGCGGTCGGTTAAATGTCTCGTACGCACGTACGCGGTACGGTACGAGACTGTACGAGACGGCGAGCGGCGGGTGCGCTGGGTGATGTAGCGTAGTCTGACGTAGTCTCGGGTTGTCGATGCTGTGCGAAGCGTGCACGTAACGTTCTCCCTCTCTCTGTTCGCTTCACGGAGCGAGTGCGCTATCGTTCCGACGTGACGGTGCGATGATCGTTTCCGCGGTCCACGACGAGTGATTCAGTGCCCCGCGACGGCCACTCCGACACGGATATCACTTGGCCACACCACCGCTTGGAACCATGACGGTTACGCGTGCTACCGAACGCGTCATCGTGCAGGAAACGCAGCGTGAGTAATCCCGTGTTGTCGTGTCGCTGCCACCGCCTTTATATCAGGAGAGAAAACGGAGTTAACGGAAGAAATAAAAAAGTTCGCCAAGCAACACGCACACGTACACACACGTATAAATGCACGCATGTGTATCTTTTCCTCTCTCCTTTTCTTTTGCACATCTGCTTCACGCTCCATCTCCCCCCCCCCTCCCCTACCTCTCCCCTTCCCCCCCTCGCCCTCTCTCTCCTTTATCTCCTTTTCTGCAATAAATAAGAGCCGTCTCTCGATATTTTCCCGCTCGTCCCGACGCACGCATCACTTCGCGGCTTGGTAACGTTAACATGCGCGATCGAGCAGATCGGAGCAGATCTCGAATGCAGGTCGGGAAGGGAGAGTCCCGATGTCGCGTGCCATTGTTGCACCGCACGGGTGCATGTGCCTAGCCACGTCGATGCGGGAGTACCATGGGAGAAAGAGAGATGAAAGGGGAGCGAGAGAAAAAACGACGATGGAGCCACCGCAACCTCCCCGGAGTAATATTTACGTTACGTGGCAGGGGAGCGTGGAATCGCGCGAAAAATACGTTCTACTCTTTCCTCTCTCTCTCTCTCTCTCTCTCTCTCTCTCTCTCTCTCTCTCTCTTCCCTGCCCGTCCAACCTGCATATACTTCACCTCGTACGCGAAAGCACTGCGGGAAACGAGCGGCTAGAATATGCACACCCGCGTGTACTACTCCAAAGAGAAGAGGAATAATGTCAAAATAACGTCATGTTGACTGAATCGTGATAAAAAATGACACAAATTCGGTCAATATGACGTCGAATTGACATTATTTTGACTTCCTTGCTCTCCTTAGGATGGTCAAATCCGTTCATTGTCCCCTTTTTCCTGTCTTGTGATCGTTGGAACGTAGAAAGTAGAGGCTCTATGGCCGGTATTCATAATCGATTCTTATATTCAAGACCATCTTAAGTACAATCTTAAGATGTCAATCAGAGGGCCGTATTAGCATCTTAAGACGTTACTTAAGACGATCTTGAAATAAGAGCGGACAATGAACAGTCCGCCCTATAACAGTCTGGCCACAAGATGACAAACATTTGATTAGCCGTTGTTTTTAACTTCAACAAATCAGGGTGGAAGCACACAGTCTTGCATAACGCATAACGAATGAAAAGTGAACTAATCGGATTCCTCTATTTCCTTCCTTTTCATAAAATAGAGATTCTTATGCAAAAGTTCGTGCTCCAGCTTTTGGAATAAGATAGTATATAAATTAGAATGAGCATATATAAAATGAGACGGTATACACACCCTTCATTCTCATTCTTGTTTTGACAAAATTGCTCTCGGCCAGACTCTGTTATAAAAAACCGCATTCGGTTCGATTACTCACACGCTTAATTCTACTTTTACGATTTAATTTATTTCACCAGTTTAGATCGAGAGTGCAGGAATAAGAAACAAACTTAAGGATAGACGCGCCGAAAGCACTGGAAGCATCCAAACCGAACGTACGCAGGCAGGATCTCTAGTAGAAAGTGCAGGAGATCGCCGCTCTAAAGACGAATGGACCTAATGATCGCCGGTCATACGCGAGCGACACGCTCGCTCGCGCACCGCGCACGGGTGAATGCATTCGTAAGAATGCATTCACGTTCGTGCTGTGGCCGCACTGCCGTACCCCGCATGCGTGTTTCTCTCTCCTCCTTTTCTCTTTCCATCTCTCTTTATCTCCCCTCTCTCTCTCTCTCTTTTCTGGCCCCTCTCCCCCCGCGCTGGCGTTCCTTTCCTCGCTTTATGTAATTGCGCCCCGTCCCGCGGACACCTGTCCGTCTGAGAACGCGTGCGGCGATCGGTCGGAGCGGCGTCAAGTTGGGCTGCAAAGATCACGAGCACGTGATCGAATCCGCCCGGATCGAAACTGCGCGGATCGGAGCAGATCGGAAATACGTTTCGCCACGATCGCGCCTTCCGTCTTTTACGTTCTCTCTTCGGATTTTTTTTTTTTTCACCTCTTTTTGCTTCCCTTCCGCTCCGGAACCTGGAGTGTACGTTGATCTCGTTTTCAACGTGGCTCAATGAGACGCTCTCTTATATCGAAGGTGCGATTGCAGAAACGGTTATAGGACGCTGTAACGGTTGCGAAGATTAAGACTGGATTGAGATCGTTCTACTTTCTATCTTCCTTGCTTGTACAACTTGCCGTTTTCGAAATGTTATCAAAGCCGGCGAGCACTCCGACGTTATCGTCGAGGAGAAAAAGACCCACCGTCCGTGACGCGTGCAACGTGATACGTGACGCGTGTTGCATGCTGCTGTGCTTCGTATAAGGGACGAGTCTTCTTAATTACGATACAGTCTAGAGACGATCATTTTGTGCATATTTCGTTGTATGTGATAGAACGTAATAATACAATTCTGTGCAGTGTATGTGTGTGTTTCGATTGACGCTCTCTTCCTTCGGAACGGCAATCTTAAGGCTCCAGTGAATTGCTTTAATTATGAGGTTGAACCTTCGACCGTATATACTTAATATGAAACGATGTTCATCCATCATTCCATCGTTATACACCGTCTATAGTATATGGTCTTTGTGTAAACGATCGAAGGTTTCAACGATGTATTTGATGTGTTAATTCACGAATTTTTTTTCTATATTCTATTATACTTTCAAGGAAAATTCCATGGAAGCTAATTTAGTTTCCCGATGTATGTAGATATTAAGCTTTCTTTAATTACGTTTACTTCTCTATATTTTAAGGAAAATTTCACGAGAATTGTTAATTTATCTTTCCGGCATTAAACTTTCTTTAGTTATGTTTATTTCTCTATATTCTAAAGAAAATTTCATGGGAATTGTTAATTTAATTTTCTAGCATATGTATTAAGTTTTATCTATATTATAGTTGTGTTTATATTTTGAGCTATATTTATAAGCTGTGTTTAGCTTTTTTTGGAGTTATCTCTCGCCTCAATTGGTAAAATTTGTATTTAACTTCTCTTAAGGTTATATTAACGCCAATTTAGCTTAGATTTATTAAGTTACATTTGTAAATTACGATTTGTAATGTTTAATTAATAATTATCTCATGACAGTTATATTCTTCTTATCAGGTTTTTGAGACGAACCTAAGGACTCTGAGATGGCCGCGAAAACGGACGACACGGCGTCTATCGACAATCCCAACGATGGTAATTATTTATTACAATAAGTAATTATTTATTATCTTCGGATATATCGAGATAATGCAATTTGCTGTTCTTTGCAAAGTTAACGCACGTGTCTCATGTTAAAGGAGAGAGTCTAGACAAAGAGATATTAACAATTGGTGGAAACGATGGAGGAAGGATTCCACCGACGTATCTGTACAATACGGGATCAGAGCAGAGCACAGGAATCTCGGACCAGGAACAAGCCGCTCGAAATCGTACTCCAGCCACGGAGGATCAATTAGGTCCATTACCACCTAATTGGGAGAAGGCGTATACGGACACGGGAGAAGTTTATTTCATAGAGTACGTATGCAACATCGCCTTTATTGCAATGAGATTTTAATATCCGTTTCTACCAACGTAGTTTAATTTTAATCTTGGTTGAACTTCATCTTCTTCTACATATTTGTGAATCATATTACAGCCACAATACAGGCACGTCTCACTGGCTAGACCCGCGTCTGTCGAAATTTCAAAAAAGGTCTCTGGAAGAATGCCTTGATGATGAGTTACCCTACGGTTGGGAGAAAATCGACGATACTCTGTACGGGACGTACTTCATCGATCATGTGAATCGTAGGACTCAATATGAAAATCCGGTGTTGCAAGCGAAAAGAGCGCAACAGAACATGCTCGAGAGGAAGAGTCCTAACTTCACCAGAAATCCCGACAAACTGAAGGGTCAGAGGATACGAACTACCTTGATAAAGAGTTCGCGGGGCCTGGGATTCACCATTGTCGGCGGTGACGATACCGTGGAAGAATTCCTCCAAATTAAAAGTGTCGTGCCAAATGGTCCAGCATGGCTGGATGGGAAGCTACAAACTGGTAATTTCCAGATAATTTTCAACCGCTAATTCTCAAGTGTGTAATTCATTTCCGTTTCTGCATCTGTCCGCACAATTGTATTTCTTTTTAGGGGACGTGTTAGTATACGTTAATGATACCTGCGTGTTGGGATTCACGCATAATGAGATGGTAAATGTATTCAAGTCAATTGGTAGTGGCGAGACGGTATCTTTGGAGGTGTGTCGAGGTTACCCATTGCCTTTCGATCCTAATGATCCTAATACAGAGGTTGTGACCACGATCGCCGTCAACGCACCAGGTAAAGCAAATCCTAATGACATTTAATATATATTGATGCTTTTATCTCAGAGGATTAGAATTATAGATTTGTTTTCAACAGAAGATCCCGCAATGTACATGGATTTGAACTCGTCTCTCCCAGACAACGGACGTTTCAATTTTCTCGATTCCACGTTCTTGCCAGTGCATAGCCTGCAAAACGGTGAGAATCTCGCCACGACGTCCGTCAATTCAATGCCCGATCTCTGTATTTCGGACAAAATCAACACGATAAAAAGACCGAGTAGCACGGATATTTTGCTGTCGGAAAGCAGCGATCTAAACGATTGTAAGGATCCGTCGGTGTCTTCCAAGCCAGAGTTTCTGAGCATCGCTATTGTAAAGGGAGCTATGGGATTCGGGTTTACGATAGCGGATTCTGCTCACGGCCAGAAAGTCAAGAAGATTCTGGATCGTCAGCGTTGTAAGAATTTAATGGAGGGCGATATTCTGGTCAACATAAACGACATCAACGTTAGAAACATGTGCCACTCGGAGGTAGTGCAAGTGCTGAAAGATTGCCCGCGCAGCGAGGAAGCGTTGATACATGTTCAGCGAACGACAACAAAGTCGAAAGAGAAAAAGGAGAAGAGCGCGCAAGACTTTTTCAGAAGTAAAACGCCCACCGCAGATATCTACAGCACTCAGTCGAAAACGGTAATACCCAGCAGACCGAAAACACCGTTGATCGACACAAGAAATCGTCCCAAGTCACCAATCAGCGCGAGCAGACCGAACTGGAACGAAGTGCAAGGCGAAAATGAATTGAATCCACTGGATAATCATTACAAGTACTCCGACTATTCACACGGGATGTACTACTCGGATCCGTACAAAGCTAATATCACAGCCAACCTGTCGGACAATTTCGCGGCGATGAATCTCGACGACGATTCCATCAGGAACGTTCCGAAGCGTGATTGGGTGGCAAACGATAAGTTGAATATCAATAACGACATGTATTCTATCGATATCTCGCATCATAATAATATGCTCAAACAAAATGGATACATGCACTCCGACTACTATAAGGATGTTTATCCAGTTCAATCGCATTCCCAGTACAATGAGGATTATACTATGTATTCCATTGGACAAGAGCAGAATGTTGACACTGGCGAGATCTGGGATAAGCGGAAAGAGACCACCAGCTTCGAACATGAACAACCACATTCCAGTTCTATATCTCGGTATGTATATCGTTCCGTCATTCTTATTAAGAGCTAAAATTTTAAAGAATTTATAATTGTTTTTATTTTCTAAAGCTTTCAAATTAATGCTACAACTTAGATATTAGATAGATAAAATGTGTTTAAAAATTGTTGAATAACTTATAAATTATATATGTACACAGAAAATTGAAAAAATATTGAAATAAAATTATTTTATTTGATATTAATTCAAGATATCCTCAATACACGAACGAATTGGTTTGTCCAATGGTGCCCGATATAGAATGGATAGAAACTTTAGTGACTTTAGTGAGACAAGATACAGGATTTGGATTTAGAATAGTAGGTGGTACGGAAGAAGGATCTCAGGTTGGTTTAAAAAAAAATGATCCGTATTAACGTTACTCTCATGTGTTGCAAAACCAAGCATAATCATGTTTAATAAAAACGGAAAATATTAAAAATATTACGGTTAGCAGGTTTCGGTCGGTCATATCGTTCCTGGTGGAGCGGCCGATCTTGATAACAGACTCAGTACTGGCGATTTGATCATGTCCGTCGATGGAGAGAGCGTCATGAATTCTTCGCATCATCATGTAGTGCAACTAATGATAGCGGCAGCGCAAAACGGCCGAGTGACTCTGGGAATACGACGTCGAATCAATACACAGGAGCACCTTCAAGAGAATCTCCAGTCATCTTACGGCCGACAGATGAATCTTCAATATCCGTACGATGTTACTGTCACTCGAATGGAAAACGAAGGATTTGGTTTTGTGATAATCTCCTCCGTCAATAAAGCCGGCTCCACGATCGGCAGGATAATCGAAGGCTCGCCTGCTGAAAGATGCGGAAGATTAAACGTTGGAGATCATATTCTCGCTGTCAATCATATAGATATCACGAACGTTTGCCATAAGGATATCGTCAATTTGATTAAAGATTCTGGTTATTCCGTTACATTGACGATCGGATATCCATTAGACGATTGTTGTAGCAATACATCTCTTTCTCAAAAGGTATAGACTTCCCTCGAAAAATTTTCTAATTTAACAATCTAAATTTAGCAATATATTGCTTTAAGATTTTCCTTTTTTTTTACTTATCGATACTGATTACAGAGCAATTAAAATTTTGATTTTTTTTATTTAGGACGAGCCTACAGGAGATGGAGATGGCGGTCAATACCATGCTGTAGAATTAACTCGAGGCACTCGAGGTTTTGGCTTCAGCATACGTGGTGGCCGTGAATTTCAAAACATGCCATTATTCGTCTTGCAAATCGCAGATAATGGTCCAGCGTCTATTGACAACCGACTTAGAGTGAGTAAAATTCTTTCTAATATATTTCGGTTTAATTGAGTAAAATTAATTGATTCGTTTATTACAAATTAAACGAACAATAAGTGATATCAGACCGATATATGAATAATACAATAAATAAAGAAAATTTCTTATTCAGTCTGAGTTTAATGCTTAATAATATTTATTTATATGTAAATTTATAATATTACATATATTCAGTTTCGTAAATTGTGGGCCGATTTAATTTTTTATTTTGAAACGTAATCTTAAACTGAAATTTTAGAATAGTCACAATATCATAAGTTAAATCAATAATTTAATTGATATTGATATTAATAAGCATCTTAAAACACTATAAAGAATTAAAATAAAATTGAAATTTTTATCGTATGTAAATCCACGTTCTAGGTTTATATTTGTTTATAAAATTTAATTGGATGTCAATTTAAATTATATGCTAGTAATATAATGCGTTTTAAATTATGAACACATATATCTATATAATGTGCAATATACGTATGCAAATGTTTTGTATTATTTCTAGATTGGCGATCAGATAATCGAAATAAACGGTATTAATACCAAAAATATGACGCATACAGAAGCGATTGAAATTATACGTAACGGTGGACCATCTGTCCGTCTGTTAGTACGACGTGGTTGCCAGATGCCTTCAGTGGTAGGTGCTCCTCCACATCTCTACGATATGAACATATAGAATTAACCTTTGATAATAACATATTAATCTTAATTTCATGACATTTTCTCCTACTTTTGATGATACTAATGCTAACATTAGCACTGTATATTTCTTTGACGATCTGGAAAACAAAGCTTTTCAGGGTATATAACATTAGGTATTATGCTAAGTGAAGAAGATGAAAGACAATACAAGAAAAAAAGAATCTCAAATAGACGATTCATTATTAAGTAATAATTCATTATTATAATGGGAACGGTAATATAGATATGAGAAAAAAATGTATTGTATTGTACAGTTCTTTACAAAGTCTTATGTGATTCTAAAACAATAGGAACAAAAAATTGCATCGTTTATAAAAATTGTATATATATAATTGATTTTTGCAACTGCATTGTATACTTCCTTTTTAGGATATTTCGATGACGCGTTTACATAATTTAAACTGTGTGCACCGCAAATTTACCATTATTATGATGAATGTTTATACTTGCCTTTAAAAGTAGCACTGAGCTAAATTCAACACTAAATGTGATCAATTTGCGATAATGAACGATACACAGTGATGACAAAATTTCTATCGTAATTATGCTTATAGGCGTATTATATATATAATAGTGTTCTTTAAACAGAAAACAAATATTCGAAAGGGAACACACAGATGACTTTTTTTCTTGCAGCTATCATTACGCAGCTTGCGAAGGTTTTAATATAAGAACAATTATACTTGCTCATCCTAACAAAATTAGGCTGGTGCTAACCTAGTTTCTTTTAATTGATCTAATCGCAGAATAAACGTAATTCATCCTAACACGTGTGATAGCTTTGAAAGTATATGTGCCTTGTTGCGCGTGTTCCGTATTTAATGAGATTATTAAATAAATATACTGCAGCCTTCTCGAAAGTAATTGTAAATCTTCATTGAAATTCATTATAGAGTAATCTCACAATCGACCAAATAAGTATTCGACCGAACCACGAGGGCACCCCGTGCAGGCATTTATCGAAATTACCCGAGAGGGGTGTGCCCTGCAAAAAACGTCAAAAAGTTCGATTTTCCATTTCATTGAACTGCTGCTCATCCAAAAACAGATATTTGTAATAGGCGCTTTCAACGAGACGCTTTTTCACACTTTTCAGGGTGCGGTCCACTTGACGCTACAAATGCTTCGAAACTTTTGATTGATCAATCGGAAGAAAGAATTTTGCTAACCGACCAATCAAAAAATGCTTCGAAGCATTCGTAGCCTCAAGTGGACCATAGTGCAAATGATATGAGATATAAGCTAAGATTTCATAAGATTAAGATTTGTGTTTTTTTTAACGGATAGAGCAATTTTCACGGCATTTATGAAATGCATTTAATCGTAGACTTCCTGTTTCCTCTTTTTTACCTTTGAACGAAAGCAAATTGTTAATTCATACAAATAGCGAATAATGTGAATCATAAATGACTTATAGTAACATATGTGAAAGTACATATGTGGAAAATAGCGTAATATAATGCGTCACAAGAGTGTAAAATTACAGACACTATCTATTTGCTGACGCAAGCAGTATCGATACATACAAAGAATCTCAGAATTCGATATCTTATATCACGTAGAGATGATACAGAGACAGCTGTATATTCATACGCTGTAAAGTGATATTGTAGACTGGCGAATATAATATAAATTTATTATTCTTCTGCTCTTCTCAATAACGTTTCAAAGTTGTAGACTTTTAAAATTTAGATTCCTATCATATATAGACACCACTTTGTAAATCTTTTTTAGATAGCGACATAATTGTGGCCTTGACGATAAAGTGTTACGCCTTTTGATAAAAACACACAAAGAGATCTCGCGTAAGAGAGGTAGTAATTGTTTAATTGTTCTCACGCGCGACTCTATCATTTCGGATTATTATAAAAATTTGAAAATTCTATCGATGTCTCGTCTCCCCCTTTTTTCTTAAGTATTTATTATCACTTATATGAAATGTATATGTATGTCAGAGTAATTATATATAAAATTAAGGGCTCATACAACCAAAGAAGTAAATGCACTTATCAGCCATTTTGTTTTGCGATTGAGTGGTGGAAGATCAATATGATAGAATTTATTATTATTGTAATTAATCGAATCTCTCTTTTGGGCGACAATTATTCTTACGCCCGCAATTAATACGATATTTCTATTGATGTATCATGCATAGCGAAATTATGATAGAGAACGAATCAGACAGAAGTTTTTTCTTCTTCACTCTTCCTGTCTTTTTTTTATGTTTATGAAAGTTACATGTTTAAAAGAGTAACGTATATTTTTTTACTTGTAAAATAGTGAGAGATGGCAGATGTTCGGCACGATTAATGAGAAAAAAAATTAACTAGATTGTATTTTTAGATCTCAGGATTGACGTGTAAGAAAGAAAGAAAGAATGTAACATATATATATTATATACATATTACATATAATTTTTAATGTAATGTGTGTATGCAGATATATTCAAAATATATATATAATGTTTTACTTCTTACATGTGTATGCTTAACGAAGAATTCGTATAAGCGATAAACAGCAGCAAACGCATTTAATCGGATCACATAGTATCCATTTTATAATCGTCGCGTTTATTTTTTATAATTATATATATATATAAAGAATTAATATATTGTATAGGATATACCATAAGTTTAGTGTAAATGTATATACTTGTTTTTCGAAGATTAAAAGGATAATGTTGATAATTTATAAGGCTATTGTAAGAAGCAATAATGCGTCAATCATTCTCTAATCGACTCACTTGTCGAAAATTCCGAGTCTTTACTACTCGTTCTGCCTTTTCTCTTGCCAAAGTTCCAGTTACATTTTTTTTAATGCGACTATTTCTCGAGACAATTGTGGCGAATGATTTAGAATCTAGTTGGAGAAAAAAATATCGGAATGTTTCGTCGTTTCCATGAATGTTAAATCGCGTCTCGAGTAGTAAAGACGGCACCCGATCATGAAATCTTAAACGCACGCACGAAAAATATTTTATATTCGAGCGATATACACCGATTTTAACTGGATCAAACAGTTATTTTATACGAGCTTCGTATATTTATTGTAATTTAGATGTAAACCGAATTCTGTATATGTCCGTTATTATGTCTCAAGTAATCGTCGTTGAATAATCCGAGGTAAAAAGCTGATATTGTTGCTAAGAATATAATGTACTACTGATATATATTGTTGTTGAGATATACTGAGATAATAAATACTGCATTGAAAAAAAACTTGGTATGTTATTTGGATTCTTGGAGATCGTCTTATTTCTTCTCTTTTTTCCTCTCTCTTTATCTCTTATTAAGACTTATTAGAATTAAGTCAAGAACTAAATATTTATCATTAAATTTACAGCGAAGAACAGCATATGCATTGATGAAAATACAGATAGTATAATGCGAAATATTGTTGTGAGATATTGTCAATTACATATAGGCGATTAGTTCTACGAACGCTAAAAAGACTAAGTTATCGTTAATCAGCTATTTATTATCATTATATAGATTATTATAGATGTAAAAAAATAATAAGTTGTACTGATAATTACTTGAAACGATATCAGTATGTGTAAATTCTAATCTATTTTATTCTAAGTAGACATCTAAGGTGGATAAGAAGATGAAAAAAAAAAACAAAAAAGAAAAAATTTTATTAATATTGAAAATAAACCTAACAAAAAGTGTCCGTTATATTTTTGTTATTCAAAGTTACTAGCGATAGAACTCACATTTTAAATTTAGAATTAATTTAACAAGTAAATAATTAAAGTAACCGATCTCCTCTCTCCTTTTTCTTTCTCTCTCTTTCTCTCTCTCATTAATTCTAAAAAAAAAAAATATTTTAAATATGAAAAAAAATATCCGCGCTTCTACGACCCGTCGCCCTTTAAATATGGCGCCGTCGTGGAGCAGAGGAGCTTTTTCATTTTCACGAAGCGATCATTAGCGATCGTCCGTTTACGCTTGTCGGTCAAACTGGTTAGCCTACAGCCCTGTTGGATGTTTCCGCATTCCAAGACCGGCGTATTTTCCGAGGACGTGTAAAAGGTGGGTAAGGTTATCGATCCTTATCGGCGTCTTCATTCAGGATTGGCGGTTTCCTGAAATCCGCGTGTCCGATCTTTCCAATTAACCGTGATCGGGGAAACCAATTACGGCCAACGCGACGATTAGCGATCACGTCAAACAACCGTGGCACTCACTTTTCTCGAAACCTTAGCGCACACGTCACCGATCGTCGTCAATTTCCACGTAAATTCAGAATCGCCGGTCGCGATTTCTCTTTGCGCTAATTTTAATAAATTTATCACGAGATCATTATATGTGCATGCGAATGATCGCTGACGTCGATCGAATCGAATTAAAATAAAATCTCACGTAAAAAGTGTAATAAATAGATAAATAAGAAAAATATATTAGCTCTTGTTTAGGAAAGCCTTCAACTAAGCTTCATTTAACTTGATCAGTGAGATTTATTCGATCTTACCCAGTAGTATCTATTAATTTGAATAAAATTATACATTAAACCTTTTTTAAACAAGTTTAAATTAAATTGTATCTCCAAAGTTCGAAAAACCCGAAACTTTATGAGAAATATTTGAAGAATTTCTAGAAAGTTTCTTGGAGTTCCAACCTGTTGTGTTTACGTTAATGAAGCGCTAATCATCGTCAGCGTCATGTGTCCGTTAGCTACTATTTGTTCTGTTTATTCTCTGCTCTTGGATATTGTTGAAAGTATCAAAATCGATATCCTTATAAGTAACAGTGACAAAAAGAACAACAGGCCGTTACGAGATAAAATGCCTTTTAATCCCTGAAGGACTCGCATTGTCAGTTTCCTGATCTTTCAATTTCTTCCTATATTTCTTTGGTTTCCTCTTAAGATAAACATAAAGTTGATTATCACAAAAAGTTAATTAATACTTAATAAAGTTGATGATACATTTCGAGTCTTGTTTAACTTTATTAATAGTATTTTTGTTGCATTTGTATTTTCTTGAAAAAACATTGAATTTCGACTTACATTTCTATCAATGTAAATAAACTTTAATCTCGGATCATTTTACTCTTTTTTTACCCTTTTCTATTTTTAATTACTTTAACTTAAAGTTAAAAAAAAAAAGATAGAAGTAAATAAACCAAGTAAATTAATCTAGGTCCGGTTCTACCAACGATTAACTTTAATCTCAGTTCAATTTACTTATTTAAATATAAAAAAGTAAACAATAAATTAAACCGAGATTAAAGTTAATCTCATATTAATGGAACTAAGCCTACACTTTTTATCTTTCTCTAGTTCCAATATTTAGAAAGGATAAAAAGTAAAGCAAACCGAGATTAAATAATCTACATTGGTAGAAAAATGGACATAAAATTTATGACGATTTTTACTAAATTCCGATTAACTTTTGAGAAGATTAAAGTTAATTAAAAAGACAAAATAAAAAGCTACGAGCCAAGCAAGATTTTTAATGCTAAAATGTCAAACAATAAACAATATTAAGAATAACTCGATCAGAGTTATTAATATATATATATATATATATGTTTTAGAGTTATATCGTTATCGTTTATTGTTTGACATTTTACTATTAAAAATCTCGTTTTGCTCCAAATTCTTTACCTTACCTTTTTAATTTTTAAATTAATCATTTTTGTTTATTAAAGTTAAATTAAAGTTAATTTTACATTGATGGAACTGGATTCTATAAATATTATCAAGATTAATCTACATTGGTAAAAAACGAACCTCCGAGGAGAATTCCAATTGAATAATAATAATTACATTCAATTACCATATTCATTCGTATACGCGCGTCTTATCTTACAGCGAAATAATTTCAGAAGGTAAAGGTAACAAGTAGATTGTTGAAGCGTCTCTCCCGCCTCGAGATTTCAAAAACTTTTGTGATAGAACGTTAAGATGTTGAACTATTATAAATTTATTTAAATGAATTAATTTCAGAAATTATAATTGCGTGCCGATATGGTTGTCGGACTTTCAACGCAATCAAATCTGAAAATATTAATAATCCCCCCAAAATTCCCAACTTAAGGTCTCGGTGGTCTAAAGGCTTAGGACGCTCGCACGGAATGCAAGAGATCCGGGTTCGACTCCCGGCCGAGGCATTATTTTTCGCAATAAGTTTATTACAGTTTTTAAGTTGGGAATTTTGGGGGGATTATTAATATTTTCAGATTTGATTGCGTTGAAAGTCCGACAACCATATCGGCACGCAATTATAATTTCTGATATTAATTCATTTAAATGAATTTATAATAGTTCGACATCTTAACGTTCTGACCGTTATGGCGCTTCTTAATTTAAAGCATTATGTTTAACATTAGCGGTCTTTCAATCTTATTATTGTTTTGTGATAGAAAACAGGATCGCCGCGATTCCCCGGTCGATACGCGTTTCGAAAGGCGGTGCGGCGGCGCCACCTAACCGTGGGTTCGCGCAGGTTCGCGGTTCCGAGAACGCATCATGCTTGACGTCTCAACGTGACGTCAGTCGTTGATCGGCACGCCAACGGCACTCGACGGTGTACCACGGTGTACGATACGCGGATCGCGAAGACTCGAGAAGACTACGAACACGGTGCGTCACGACGATCTGATTGAACCGCGGCGCGTGGAAGCAACGTCGGAAGCAACGTCGGAAACGCGGGAAGGAAGTGCGAAAGCGGAGTCTCCACGGTGGACGTGAAGGTTCCGCGTGAAAGAATCCCGGAGGCTCGGCAAGGGTCGTCGGCGGCGCGGCAAAGCGGGCAAAGTGATCCGGACGCGCCGCCCCGGCGCGCGCGCGCGGAGGACAGGGGGTGGCAGGCGAGGAAGAGGAGGAGGAGGAGCCAGGAGGGAGCACGATCCTCCGTCCCGTATACGACGCCATCTTCGCATTGTGCGGTCGCTGTCGCGGACGCCGTCAGGTTGACGGCACTGGCGCGATTGATCGCGCGCATACGTCGTACAACGCTTGTGCTCCGTATACGCGCGTGCGTATTCACGCACGCGCACACACGTACACGCGTGTTTTTATCCGGAATACGTGTATCACGTTGTGGACGGTCTCTCACGGATGAACGGGGCCCCTGGCCACCCTACGCGAATGTAAACAGAGAGTTCTGAAGTTCTCCGTCGCGCCGGATATCATGTGCGACACGGACGAGATCGGCGGCGCGGCCGCTGAGAGCTCGCGCCGTCCGCTCTGAGCTGAGCGAAGTGAAGTTGCAGCACGCGCGTGTTGGTGTGGTGTGCGCGTTCCTCGACCCGGGTCGGCAGCTATACAGAGTGGTGTGCGTGCGGGATTACCGTGAAGTGGGAACGGCAGGCCGACCGTCGGCGACCGTCGCTCCGGGCTCGCCCCGTTGCGTGTACACGTTGCGTCTCTCCTTCCCGTCTTCCTTCTCCCGAGTCTCTCTCTCTCTCTTGCTCGCTCGCTCGCTCGTTCCGTCGAATCGTCTCTCTCCCTCTCGCACGCCTGGTCGCCTAGGATATTCCCGATACCTGAGACGGGTTCGCGTGTGCGCGAACCGCGTACGGTTCTACGTTGGCTCCGTTGCAATGAGAGACCTCGACAAGAAACTCGCGGACGGAGCTGTATCCAGGGTGAGTATTCGGCTCGCACTCCGCGAGAGTTTTTTTCGCGATTGCGAATCGCGCTGCGAGGAAGGCGAGAACGGCTAGGCATCGCCGACGTCTCTCCGTCCTGTTTACTCCCGTCGTCGCTTGTGCTCGTGTTCGTTGCCAACTTCTCGCGTTTTAACGCGCCCTGCAACCGTCGCGTCGAGTATCCGCTTTCCATCGCGAAACGTATACGCTCTATTTGTCTCTTCGTCTGTTCATTGACGCGTCCGTACGCGTTAGATCTTTTTTTTTTATAGCTCAACTAGCGCGCGCGTACACTCTTCCAACTTGAAAGGTTTCTTCTTTTTAGCTGACTTCTTGCACGGTTCAGCTTTTCTCTTTTTCTCTAGAGAGATAAACCATGCAAGAAGTTCAACTAAAAAGAGTAGGCCCTAAGCGAAATAGGTATATTCTACACAGCAGAAATTCGTTCCAACGATATTGCAGCAATATTGCAGCGTTTCAATAATATTGCAAACATTGCAATAAGTCTGTTCTTTTAAATGTTCTTTTAAATGAACTTCTTGCATAATTCATCTTTTCTCTTTTTCTCTCCAACATGAAAAAGAGAGAAAAAAATGAACTATGCAAGAAATTCAGCTAAAAGGAGCAAGCCTAAAGTGAAATGAATATATTCCATACAACACAGATTGCTTCAGCAAAGGTCTGTTTTCTAGTTGAACTACTCGCGCAGTTCATCTTTTCTCCTTTTTGTCTCTCCAACATGAACATAAAGGAATGAAAAATGAATGAACCGTGAAGAAGATCAGTCAAAAAGAACAGTCTATCGCTGCAAGCTTCCGTGCATTCTGTGTAAGATATTTCACTTGACAAAGCGAGAAGAAAAGCAGTTCAGGATAGCAGTCATGCGTAACATTTTCCCTAACGTCGAAAATAAATCTTTTTAGCATTGAAAGTAATGGAGAAATTTTTCACTCCTTACATTTCCGCCCTAAGAAAAGAGTTATGGTCGCTACTCAGTGTGCAGCGATAAAAAACAAACCTATTGTCTTGCTCCGTCACAAATTTGTAAACATCACCCTCTCACCCTCGTTTTCTTTTTCATTCTTACATGACAAACGATCTATGGTTTTTTTTGGAGTGCGGGTAAGATACGTGCTGAGAGACCGAATCCGGTAGCGAGATTTTTCCTCGCAGGTAGCGACGGTTATTGTTAGACGAGACGAGGAGTTTTTCCGACCCGGAGGGATCTCTTCCCAATGGATATCCGCGCAACAGTCGTAGGCTACACGGCTACCGAATCCCTTCCTTTCCTTCCTGGAGGTTCACGTGTTGTACGTGTCTTCTTACGCGGTTGCGTTCGTGTGCGTGACTCCGTCGAGCGAGGTGCTCTCTCTTTCTTTCTCTCACTCTTTCTCTCTCCGTCTGTTGTTTCTCCTTCGCTTGCTCCGCTCGTTCGCTCGCTTGTAAATCGAAATCCGAGGTGCTTTTCGAGCCGCGTGTTTGTCGCTCGTAAAAAGCCCCACCGAGCCCGAAGGCAGAAGCGGGATGGCATACTGCTGTTTGTCTCAGGTTCGCGAACCCTAAATCAACCAAGTTTTAACATATATACAATCGGTAGGTGGATAGGCAAGCAAAAGCGGATAGGCTTTTCGTCTCGTTTTGCGGTTTAGCGCGTCCGTATATTTATTCCTAATATAAATTGAGAAACAGCATCGGTGTTTTCGGAATTCATATGTTACTCAGTCGCGCTTGTTTTTGCGGTATTTTTTTTCCTTTCTCTCCTCCATTCTGAAATCAAAGTGCACTTTGTTCCGTTTTAGCAGCGAAACCCATAATAGAGTACAACTGTAAAAGGAGCAAGGCTCTCTCTTTAGAAAAAAAAGACGTTAACGTTCCTGTTTTGACGAATATCAGTCAGTACATTTATATGATGATACTGTAAAGTACAGAAAATGTTGTATTTATAAAACATGTAGAAAAAGACACATGGGATGTATATGAAATGTATAACTTAGGTTTAATTAATTAATTTTAATTATTTTTCATTGTCGTCTGAATTTACACGACAAGTTTCTGACTATAATAGTCGAATTGTGTTTTTTCTTTAAAATAAAAAAAATATAGATACATAGATTTATACATGTTACGTTAAAAATTAAAAATAAAAGAATATACAGGGTAAGTTTATATGTTGCTTTAAAAACATTATGTAACAAAAATATGAAGTATAAACAATATTTTATCTATAATATTTGCATGGTGTGTGTGTGTTTACTACCTGAAGAAAAAACCTAAAGATATAAAAAAATCTAAAGGTCAGGGGATTTCTTTTTTACTTTCGAAAAAATCAAGGATTTTCATGGGATTTTATCGGAACTCATGAAAATTTTTGTAATTTATTTCTTCATTTAAATTTTGTTTGTTTCTTTGATCATTTTTTTTATGATACAAAATATTACGATCAACAATAAGTACGACATACACATCCGTATGTATTTACATACATTCTTGTATCTCGTTTTTATAAAAAAAAAAAAAAACAGACTGGCAATAAAAAAACAGTACTCATCAGAATAGAGTCGCTCACTGGATAATATATATGTACTACATGAGTTTTTCTTATACCATAGGTATTATATACTATGGATTTTATGACTTCACAATTGTAAAAAATGATAAATATAATCTCATGGACTTCCTGTTTTCCATTAATTTTCAATATATAGTTTATTTGCGTTGCTAGCACTTTAATTTATGTCAAAGTTAGATTAAAAAATTCTCTATTCTCTTACCTGTGGAATTTTGAACAAAAATGAACACCCTAATTTGTCTTTATTAACATTGTTTTTAATTAACATGTGTCTTAATTACATTGTTTTTATTAACTTTTTCTTTTCTTTTTCCTTCAAGGATCACTGACAGGAAATGTAGGTAATCTATTGTAATGCACATTTTACACATTCTTTTCAGCATTGGTTTTTTGTTATTCTTATTAAAGCTTTGCCGACCCAAAAATGACCTCGACTGTACATTTCTCGAAAATGCTTTTAAAGATATTAATGTTACAAAAAAAAAATGAAGCTTATAATAATATTACACGCTATAAAATAATTAATTAGCTGTCAGTAATTTAGCACTGCAAAATATCTCGTATAGAAAACGTTCTGAGGTTTAACTTCCTAGAAAAAAACATGGATTTCGATTTTACTATGATTTATTTCCAGATTAGACAACGAAACAGTTAATTTTATGATATAACTATTTGAAAAGTATATATTGTAATATACATTTTCGATATAATTAACGGTTTCCAAAGTCTATAAAATCTAGCGTATTTTTCCAATTTATATATTGATATTTATTCATTAGAGGGCAATTTAACGTAAAATACGCTTTCTGCTTGAAGTAACAATTAATTCCGGATTTGACCATTTAATAACTAGCACCTAATCTTGCAATTTGTTAGAATTTATTTAGCGCTAGTGAGGGACAGAACCGGTATTAATGAAGTGTTATATTAATTAATAATAATATTAATTAAATCTGCGAGAATTAGGCGTATTAGAGAGATGTATAACATTTGTGGATGCTAATTGTTATTATTGCTAAGCAGCTTAGTTCCCATTTTACTGTGCTTCATTTTACTGTGATTTCTCTAAAGTATGTATCATATCAGCATTGATAATGAAACTCATAAAATATCGTAAGATATGGGTACACAAAGTTTTAAAAATGTGAGGGATGGCCTTTCCATTTTTTCCTTTCATATGCATTATTTTTCCCATCTTGTTTTTCTAACGTGGAACGCTTTTCATTTGCTATCTTCCATCCCCACCAACCATCGAAGTCGGAGTCTATTGTGTATGAAAACTATTGTCCTGGTATTTCTGGTTACAATCTTCGCGCGGTTTACAGATCGTTAGTTTCATAGAAATTCTTCAGTTTCATTTCTGCTCGCAATATGTACAGACGTCGAATACTAACAGTTTAGACATTCGGAATTCATGGTGAGAATATAATTATAGTAATTTTACATATAATTAAATTCTGTATAGAAGAATGATTAATTCTTTATATATATCATACAAGTTTTTGTTCGTCACTATATATACTTCTGTGAACAAATATTGGTTGCATCCATAAAATGATTTGCGTCTTTGAAGTGTAGTCAAAATGTAGTTAGAAGGTCAGAAATTTATTTAAATAACATTATTTTTATTACAATTTAAACGTTCTCTCTCAATTTTACATTCAGCCATCAATCTAGATTCTTCACTGTCTCTTTTATTTCTCAAGTATTTTACAAGCTCATTTAAATACTCCACTTGTGCATTACATTTAGAATTCCTACGAAAGGAAGAAAGATTTGAAATCATAATTAATTAATTATATTATCAGATGTAATTATCTTTCTTAATTTTTATCATCCCCCTTTTTTGTTTCTATCATTACAATATTTTGGATCTCATGGATTCGGTTCTCATGGTCCTTTGTCTCTCATCACGGAATTACAAAACCATTTTGTAAACATGAAAGACAAAGAAAATACGATCGATTTGTCGGTTATAGTTAACAAAAATCACTCTTTGTTATTATGTGTTGATTGTCAATCGACATCGGATTCGCGAAAGGTGCAGAACACTTCTAGAAGAGATTGGATGCTCCGCTCAAACAATAGCACATTCGTTAATTATATATAGATCGTAAAGTCTCGTTAGTCTCGCTTTTAGCGCATCTTACCCGAGCAATGCCGTCTCGTCTTTCAAAGATATCTTCAATTATTACAACCGAGGCTTCGTGTTTCATACGATCGAAGACATCCCTTCGAGTCCTGCGATCAAAATGTCGGCTTCGTGTTACGTGCATCCGGTGCAAATTACTCGTTTCCATCGTTCTCTATACATATGTAAATATGCGTTACCGTTAATCTGTGTTATATTTTTATTTCGCTAAAGACATTGACGTTATCTTACCGATCAATCTCGCGTCATTTTTCATTTGACTGTCTTATTATCGTT